TGGTTATAAATTTGCAATGATTTACATAAATATATAAGCAATTTCTTTTTCAATATATACTAACAAAGAATCGAAAAAAATCATTTTCTATTTTGTTATGAAATTTAGTCTTAACTATGCTCATAGCTAAAAATAACCACTTTGCGAGTAGTCGTAGAAACCGAACGAGTAAGAATAAGTGTTATCGCTATATATACAAGTGGATAACTTTCAAATTTTTTATCTTCATCAACTATTGACACAAAATCGGATATAGTCGACAATATTTTGAAATATAAAAGATTCCATACATCATCAAAAAGCTCAAATTGCATTCTAAATTGTAGCATTTCATAATCGATAAAGTCTTAAAGGTAAAATTTACGCACCAACTTACAAATGACATCAATCCTAAATGATATACGCATCTCTCTAGGATAATTTTTCCATACCGAGTGAATATTTTATATATTTTTTATGCATGAATAGTAGCTTTTTATGCAAAATAAATATTTTAAGTATTTTGAATGTGCATGAAAAATGTTCTATCTGTGTATAATATTTTCGATGCATGAATAATGCTTTTTTATGCAAATTAATTATTTTGAGTATTTTAAATATGTTTGAAAATTATCCAACGGGTATAGAAAAATCATTAAGAAGGTGTAAGAATATTCTATAAATTTAGGTAAATTTTTCCTAGTGCATGAGAGTATTTCCTATAGAAATAAGTGTATTTTTACACTTATTTAAGCCCTCACATAATTATTTTATGTAAAAATAATTCATAGGTTAATTAAAATTCCAATTGAAGCATTCTAATAAAAATCAATTAAAGCAAGAATTAGGATGGTGTCATATTGAAAGTAGAATTGTTACAAATTAAAAGAGATGATAAAAGAGTGTGGTATGGCATGGGATGTTTCATGAGGAAAAAACAAAAATTGAATTGTGGGGGTGGGGGTCAACCCTTGCTAATGATACTATACTAGCTTCCATTGACTTCTTTCTTCCGCTAATCTACCATACACCATAATTCAAGCATACATGGTGAGACCGTGGCTTCCTAGAGCGGTTGGTCGGTTGAAACCGTTGCGGTATGATCAAAGCATGAGATGTTTTAAGTGGAAAAAAAAAGTTGGATTGCGAGGGGGCTAAGGGCCCTCGTAGCGTTCTATGTGGGTCCACCCTCGTCTAAAAGTGCAATCGCACCTACCCAACCTCGAAACCTTTAATCATGAAATCAATAGAAAATTCGTAAAACTCCTCTTCATAAAATCATAAAAAGTCATAAAAACCTTATGATCATAAAATCAATTAAAACAATAATTAGGATGGTGTCATATTGAAAGTAGAATTGTTACAAATTAAAAAAGATGATAAAAGAGTGTGGTATGGCATGGGATGTTTCATGAGGAAAAAACAAAAGTTGGATTGTAGGTGTGGGGGTCCACCCTGCTAATGATATTATACTAGCTTCCATTGACTTCTTTCTTCCACCAATCTACCATACACCATAATTCAAGCATATATGGTGAGACTCGTGGCTTCATAAAGCGGTTGGTCGGTTGAAAACCTTATAGGTATGATTAAGGCATGGGATGTTTCATGAGGAAAAAAAAGTTGGATTACAAGGGGGCCGAGGGCCCTCGTAACGTTCTATGTAGGTCCACCTCGTCTAAAAGTGCACTCGCACTTACCCAGCCTCGAAACCTTTAATCATGAAATCCATGGAAAATCCGTAAAGCTCCTCTTCATAAAATCATAAAAGTCATGAAAAACTTATGATCATAAATATTTTCGATTGCTATTGGAAAATTCTTGAAAGAAAATCCTCTTTTTCATGACTTTAAAACTTTTTCCTTAAACTTGGCATGCATATGCATTTCAATATAAATGCATAATCATTATGAACTCATGTAGCACATGACATGAATGGTTTAATCTTGGCCCTTGATTCTTCTTTTAATCTAAGCCCTTCATTTATTTTAAATCTTAGCCATCTACTCTTTCTTTAATTTTAAGCCTTTCATCTAACCATATTCTTTTAACCTTAACCCTCCATTTGTGCATGCAATTAATACACTCAAATTAGTGAGGGGAAAGTGGTGGCAAAAAAGGAGAAAATCTCTCCCAAAATTATTTAATTTTTAGTTCCTCGATTTATTAAACTTTACTTCAATTACTCTTCCATAAATCTTTCAATTTTTCAATTGATTCCTCTAAGCCCTTCTTTTAAGGTTTTTCTAACAACTTTTAACTTCTTAAAGTTCATTGTTAATTTAATTTAAAATCTTAAACTTTTAATTTTTATGCAATTAGGTCCCTACTATGCAAAATTTATTTTACAACTTTTCAAAAATCAATTTCTTTCCATAATAAATTCAAACTCCTCCTATAAGAATTTATTCACCATTCATATAATTTTTATACATTTATCCAAGCCTTCAAATTAATTACTTTGAGTAAAAATACACTTATTTCTATAGGAAATATTCCCTATGTATAGAAAAATTCACCTAAGTTCATAAAATATTCCTACACCTTATAAAGAATTTTTTTCATACCTATTGGATAATTTTTAAACACTTTAATATATTTTTAATTTATTTAGTAACGGTTTGAGGCATTTCATTATGCATAATCCAAGCAATCAACATATGAATGTTGTGAATTGAATCCTAGCCTATTTAAAATAAGCTCCAAGTAAAGGTGTTTTATTCTTCAAACATAGATATCTTGATGTTGTGGGTTATACAAACTCGATTTTGTTGGTAGTATATATCTTGATTTTGTGGGTTTTATTCTCCAAGTAAAGGCACTTATGTCGATCAAAGTGGCCTAAGAATGATTGATTTTGGTCGGGGTTGTGTTTCTCCTTTGTAATTTTATATGGATTTTTTGTGCTCTTCGTCTTTTTTGTCCCCTCTTAAGTGTTTTCGATTGGGTTTCATTGGTTTCAAAAAGGATTGATGTTCTCGGTTTGTTTCTTATTGGTCGTCATTTTATTTGTTGTTGTGAATTGTTACTTTAGAGGTCGAAGGGTGTTAGCTACAAAAATCGTCTATTGTTGGAATAATTTCTTTTGAGGGCGTTGTCTTTAAACAAGTTGTTTGCTTCTCTTTATTATCCTTTCTCAACTATCTCGGACGTATTTAGCTTATCCTCTCTCAACTTGTCTTTTCTCATTTGCTTGATTAATTAGAATTGCGTACCTATTGGGGGCTTATTAGAAAATTACAATCTTCGTTTCTTTCTTGTCCTTTGATTCTTATGATTGTCTTTGTTTTCTACTTCTTAGATGTGTTTTTTGACTCTATTATCCTTTCCTTTTAATATTTCTATTTTTTTAAAAATTAGATATATGATGCAAGTTTTCCTTTTTTTCCCTATTGGGTGTTTTGGTTCTTTTTCTTGCATAGTTTCTTTCTAATTCATTGTCTTTTTTCGCGAATTTTGGACTTTCTTCTTTTGCATTTCTCGATTGGTTGCAATGTCTTTGTTTCTTTTAGCCTATCTTTTAATTTTATTTTCTATTCTTACTCGTTGGTATATGCTTTTTTTATTGTTTCTTGTCTATTCTCTAAGCAAGTTGATTTCATTATAGATTATTTATCATTTTTTTCTCGCATCGTTTTATATTTATGGGTTTTTGTGTGTTGACCTTTATTTTCCTCTATAGAATTTTTATTTTTTACTTGTTTACCTCTTATTGTTTTGTCGAATTTAGTGATGTTTTTTTCAAATAGTATGTCAATACTATGTATGACTCAAGGTATGTTTGTCTCGGTGTTGTTGACTTGTTTATGATAAAGGTTGTTTCTATTCTCTTTCTTTCTTTCTTGTTTTTTAATAAATCCGATCATTAGTTTGTGTTTATTAGCATGCTATCGTTGTCCTTTTTCTTCTTTGTAAGAATTTTAGGTGTTCTTTGTGTTGTTATTTTGTTTCTTTCTCGGGTGTTTTTAGCTTCTTAACAAGAAAAGCTAAAAGAAGTGGGGAATTTACTATATATATATATATTTTTTATTGTTTATTGTGAACACAAACTCATTGGTATCATTGGTATTGTCTGCTCTTTTCTTCAATCCCGACTATTCTTGCTTTTTTGTCTTTCATATAGTTTGTTCTTGGTTATTAGATCTACCGATTATTCTAGTTGTGATATTACTTTATGCCATTTGCTTATTTTTTTTCTATTTTTTATGTTTGTTTATTTGTTAGAGCATTAAATGTTTCTTTTTTATGTTTTGATGCTACTGCACCATTTTTTGTTTCTTTATCTTTTGTTCTTCATCTTGTTCATTCTGTGCAATTGTCAAAGACACTTTTGTCAATTAAGAGGCTAAAAAATGATTGATTTTGGCTGAGGGTTATGTTTCTCCTTCATAATTTTATTATTATAACATGTTTATCTTTATAATTTATTCAACTTTTAAGATTGAATATTCACTTAGTACATTAACATATATTATTATAGAATTTTCAACAATTTATTGTCGATAACTGATTAATTTGACATTTGCCAACAAATCTATATGATCAGCTAACCCATTAATTTTATTGTTATGCTTTACTAAAATTTTTGGCATAAAAACCTTCGCCCTTTTTGGTAAAAATTTCGTGGTTGTTTAGGTTGCTTTGGTGTCCAAAATATTTTTGGAGGGTTAGAACGATCAAAATAAAAAACTTGAGTCACCAAAGTATGTAATTGTGTTTTTTAACGTCCTGTGGTGGGTTTTTTTTTTAAATCCAAATAAACGAAAAGGAGAAATGATTTTTGACTCAGGAGGTGGGAAAAGTAATTAGAGAAGGAGAGGAACTGATGCAATTGGGAATTGCGAAATTCAAATGAAAAATGAGTTAGATAGAAGAAAGAAACAAAGAAGAAATCATCTCTTTTTTTTCCTTCTGTCATTTACTGGCACAGCACCAGTAGTAGAATCATCCATTGGTAGTCAGATCTGTTAAATCAGATCATATCAGATCTCAGAAGAACGAGAAGAAGGAAGGAAAGGGAAATGCTGCGATTAAGAGCATTCAGACCCAGCAATGATAAGATAGTAAAGATTCAATTGCATCCTACGCATCCATGGCTTGTCACTGCCGATGCCTCGGATCGCGTCGCCGTTTGGAATTGGGAACACCGCCAGGTTATCTACGAGCTCAAACCCGGCGGTGTCGACGAGAGACGTTTGGTCGGTGCCAAGTTGGAGAAGCTTGCTGAGGGTGAATCTGGTACTGCTTCCTAACCTAACCTAACCTTCCTCCCTACAACTGCTGCTGCTGTTTTTTTTTTTTCTTTCCAAATTCAATTCATTCTTCATTTTTTTCTTCTTATTTTCTTTTCAGAGCCGAAAGGGAAGTCTACTGAAGCCATGCGCGGAGGGAGGTAATAATGGATTTGATTACTTCTTGTTTCAATCCAATCAATCTTGATTTCATTTATCTTCTTATTTTTATATGGCATGGCATCTAAAACGAATCCAAACAAAAAACATAAAGTGTGAAGCAGGTTAACTTTTATGATGATGATGTCCGCTTTTGGCAACTCTGGCGCAATCGTTCAGCAGCTGCGGAGGCTCCCTCAGCCGTCAGCAATGTAACTTCAGCATTTGCTTCTCCAGCTCCATCCACTAAAGGAAGACACTTCCTTGTCATCTGTTGTGAAAACAAAGCCATCTTTCTGGACCTGGTCACTATGCGTGGTCGTGATGTACCTAAGCAAGAACTTGACAACAAGTCACTTATCTGGCAAGTCTTACTACGATTTCACCAACTTCCGTTTTACGGCATTAATCAATCAGAGTTTCTTTCACCCTGTCTGGTTCGTTTTTATTTATGAAAATAAATATCTTAAATTAAACTGCTGCTAGTTATGTTATCAACTAGCATTTTCTGCTTTTGTATGCCAATGTTTCGTGTAGACGTGATAGTAAACATGACAGACAGCAGTTTGGTCTTTGATCAAACTTATTGCAATGATATCAAGATAATATGGTGCCACTTTGTCTAACCAAAAATCCAAATAAACAAGCGGAGTCACTTTTCATAGATCTCCTTTTAAGCTACAACAGGGGCTCCGACTCATTTTATATGGTGAGAGGGGCTATTACGGTGATTGGAAGGGTTTTGAGCAAGAGGAGTTACTTCTCTTTGTTATCTTATATTTTTTAGCATTCTTCATTTCTGTTATTGAAGACAAGATTTCTTTTTTCAAGTTTCTCTTTCTATTTATTTTGTAGCTTTTTCTATCTTGCAAATGAATTTCTTGATTTTGCATATGGGTTTGCATGATGCATTCCTTTGGTGCTCTACATTATAGGTTTTTCTTATCTGAGGTTCTGTAGGATCTATGACTTTTTTCCTATGTGTGATCACCAACTACCTACATGGATCTGCTAATTTCTGTATATTTATCATGTTTACGTGTACGATGAACATTTTTTTTTTATCTCTTCTGCAGTATGGAGTTTCTCTGCAGATCCACTACTGGTGATGGTCCTCCACTAGTTGCATTTGGTGGATCGGATGGTGTCATCAGAGTTCTTTCAATGATAACATGGAAGGTTTGTGGGTGGCTTAGTTGTTGTGCTGTTGTATGCAATTACTTACCTCGTGTTGTTTGGTAATAATTGTTACTTGCAGCTTGTACGCAGATACACTGGAGGTCATAAAGGATCCATTTCTTGTTTGATGACCTTCATGGCTTCCTCTGGTGAGGTAGTTCTTTATTACCCATTGCTAAATTTGAATTGCTTAATATTTTACATTAGCCTGATTTGCTATCAGACTCCTTATTGTTATTTTTGCATTGAAGGATCCCTTCTGATCCCTGTAATCTTTTGTATTGTTTTTGTCACATATACATAACCATGCGCAGCTGCAGTTTGAGTGTTACACCTTGGATCCAAGCACCTCTAGTGCTATAGAGTGCTGGTGCTTTTATCAACACCGGCCACTCAATGGGTCCATATGCATCTCGATATGGAAGGTGAAAGAGATAGTGAGAAAAAGGGGTACAGGGTGCTAATGTTTTGCTCATTTTTTCATCATAGGCCTGGGCAACATAAGTCATGATGTGGTTGTTACCTTTGTTGAAACTTTAAAAGATGGCAGATCTTTTTAGAAACATGTGAGCTCTATAACTTTTGGTGGCATATTTCATTATGGACCATTAGGAGCAGGAGCATCATTGTCATATATAACTTGAGATTTGAGTATGAGTGTAATATTGAAATTTTGAGAGTGTTTCAAGGTTTGATGGGAATCAAATAGTCACTGTTCCCTAATTTGTGTAATTTGCTTTATAATGGGAAGGCATATAGTCCTTCTTTCTAGACTGTCTAGTGGCTTGGGATATTTGGAGGGTTTTGGCGTTGAGAGTTGTGGGAATCCTGAGTTCAATGGAAGTATTCCTATCAACCCACATAGTGGGGTTTGGGCGAGGAAAGGATTGCAAGAATATATGGTAATTTGTTATCAATGCCGCAAATCGGGGTATTTGGATGGAGTAGAAGATTAGAGAACTTTAAAGGAGCAATTTCATTGACAGAAATTGTTAATGGATAAATTGGTTTTTTACTCTATGTGGTGCACCTCTTCATGGGCTTTTCTGGTGGTTCCTTTACCTGACATTCGATGGGACTATAAAGTATTGTTGTTCTGACTTTCTGTGCTTTTAGTTCCTTTCCTTTTTGGAGGACACCTTATTCTCCATTATGTAAACTCTCTATCCCCCTCTCTCTCCTTTTTCTTACATCAGCTTCCTTGTAAGAAAAGATTTGCATGCATGCCTTCCACTCTCTCTTTCTTCCCCCTTGCTCCATTGATATCTATACATTTTAGAGAATACGTGCAATGGCGTATATGCATGCACTTGTATGTGCTATATATGATCTAAGTCATCATGTAACTCAGATTTGTTTACAATTGCTATGCTATCAATTGCAGGCTCTTCTTGTTTCGGGTGGTAGTGATGGCTTACTTGTTCTTTGGAGTGCAGACAATAGTCAAGATTCACGAGAACTTGTACCCAAGCTGAGCTTAAAGGTAGCGTTCTTATTCTTCTTTCATCATGCATCATGCTGCTCCCCTTTCTACATCCTACAATTAAAAAAGGAATTTAAACCTTGATTTTGATGTTCATGGACATTAACTTAGCTATGCAAAGAATTTATGATACATTGGTATTAAAGAGACAAAATTTCCAACATAACAGCTTAAATAAATAAAAATGCCACACCTATTTGAGTTCCTTGGTTGTCCAAGAAATAATGCAAATATGTCAAACATGGCTTTTGTTATTAGTTTCTTTTGGCATTTTGATTCATTGTAAATTTTATGTTCAATTTTTATTTGCCAAGTCATTTTGTTTATATATGATTTCTAAACACTTGCACATTTAATCTTGTTCCAACCGATTCATACTGTATAGGTCTTGCTTCTTTGAACTAGTACAACTGAAGTAGGTTTTAATGCTTTAATTTACCATATTAATAGGCACATGATGGTGGGGTTGTCGCTGTTGAGCTTTCTAGAGTTATTGGAGGTGCTCCGCAACTTATTACCATTGGTGCAGACAAGACGTTAGCTATATGGGACACAATCTCTTTTAAGGTGTTGTAACAAGCTTCCAGTATTGCTTAAGTCATGTGAAAATCTCATTCTATTATTGAAATTCAAGTTGAAGTTTTTGGTACTTTATTGTCTTTCCATCTTGTTCTTAATATAATCCTCATACACTTTCTTCTTTCTATCACTTTTTTGTTTGTGTGTGCAGGAGTTACGGCGTATTAAACCTGTTCCAAAACTTGCATGCCACAGCGTGGCATCTTGGTGCCACCCTCGAGCTCCAAACCTAGATATTTTAACTTGCGTCAAAGATTCTCATATATGGTATGCATAATTTTTCTATTTCTGTCACATGCTCTGACAGGAAGTTGATGACTATTAAACAATTTTTGCAATTTTGCATCAAAGATATCCACTGTTACGTACAGTGGATATCACAAAAGTTGATCATTATTAAATACACAGTAACAATGACTCAAAACATTTTGCAGGGCTATTGAACACCCCACCTATTCAGCCCTTACAAGGCCATTGTGCGAGCTTTCTTCACTAATCCCTCCTCAAGTTCTTGCACCAAACAAGAAACTTAGGGTGTGTAATTCTTTTCTAAGAGTCTGATGTCAATTTTAGCATCTCTTGGTACCATTATATCAAAGGTTCAATAGATTATTTGTTGGATAACTGGGATGAACAGAGTGATGTTTGAAACTTGTTCTTGAAGTAGCAATATTTTCTGCATCATATCTCTTTATATTCCCCTTTTTTCAGTTTCTTCTCCTTTTAGGGGCTTCTCTGGTATGATCATTTTATAATAATGTAACATGTTTCTGGAAACTGGACCATAATCTTTAACCATGGTTGTCGCTCCCATATTGGATGCCAAACATACATTACCAAGTATAAAAGTTAGTTATTCACATCTTTATGTTGGTTGAATCACTCCTTTTGCCCTGATAAATTCCGTAAGGGGATGATACTAAATTTGATTGATTCTAAATTAATGGAGTACTTCTTCTTGATTTTCTAATCAATATTACGCATTAGAATTGCTAATCACTGAAAATTAATATTTCTACCGATAATGACTTTCTTTTAATTGAACTTGGGTTGATACAGTACTCAAATTGTCAGATTATGCTCCTCCATGAGTAATGTGTTACCTTTTTAAATTGTCTGTATTGGAATATGCCTTTTGTTTGACACCCATAGGTTGCTACTGCAGGTTTATTGCATGGTTGCACATCCTCTACAGCCTCACCTCGTTGCTACTGGAACCAATATTGGTGTTATTGTCGCCGAGTTTGATGCTAGATCTATTCCAGCTGTGGCTCCCATACCAACACCAACAGGAAATCGAGAGCATTCTGCCATATATGTAGTTGAAAGGGAATTGAAGCTACTGAATTTCCAATTGTCCAACACAGCAAATCCATCTCTTGGAAGTAATGGTTCCTTATCTGAAACAGGAAAGTACAAGGGAGACTCAGGTGAACCATTACACGTCAAGCAGATGAAAAAGCATATCAGTACACCTGTTCCTCATGATTCTTATTCAGTTCTTTCTGTAAGCAGTTCAGGAAAGTAAGTCACCTTGACCTTTTTTCTTTCTTTCTTTTTTAATAAGAGAAAGGGAGAGATGCAATTAAGAAGGGATGATTGTGAACTCTTCCTTCCACTGAAACAGAGGAAGCAACAGACAGGTGATTGCAACTTTATGTCATTTCAAAAACGCTAACAGCATTAAAGACACTTCTAACGTCTTACTTTTCAACAAGGGCATAAAGTTGCCATTATTTGTCTATTGCTTCCTTTGAAACAATGTCTGTAACCATCCCCTTTTACTCATTTGCAGGCAGCTATATCAATAAATCTATTTACCTAATCTTTCTGAACATTTTGTATTCTGGCTTTCAGCCTGCAATTATCTATTCGTCCATTAAGTGGGTTTGGCATTCTTTTCTGTTTAGAACTGGTATGAACATGGCAGTGCTTTCTCACCGCACATTTTGGCTGCAGATATCTTGCAATTGTGTGGCCAGATATTCCTTACTTCTCTATATACAAGGTGAGTGACTGGTCCATTGTAGATTCAGGAAGTGCAAGACTTCTGGCTTGGGATACATGTCGTGATAGGTTTGCTATATTGGAATCTGCATTACCTCCTAGAATGCCAATAATTCCAAAAGGGGGTTCGTCAAGAAAAGCAAAAGAAGCGGCTGCAGCTGCTGCACAAGCTGCAGCAGCAGCTGCTTCTGCTGCCTCTGCTGCCACTGTGCAAGTTCGTATCTTGCTGGATGACGGAACGTCAAATATATTAATGAGGTCCATTGGTGGTCGCACTGAACCGGTACTTAACCTCTTTCTCTCAATTTATGACACTCTATAGGTCCAGTTAAATCTAAGTTTTTCTTGTGCATATGTTTCTGCAATAACCCATGATAGGATTTCATGTTCATTTACCATGCACTGAACTTTGGTGCTTGCAATCTTTATTTTTGCGGTCACCTGTTGTCTGTTAATGTGTCTGAGTTATGTCCAGAATTTTCCTAGTTTTTTTTTTTTGTTAATTCTAAACATTAAATGTCAATGGAATTTTGTTCTTTAAGAGGACTTAAAGTCATTACCTTTGTTCTTCTTCCTGTAATGTATTGCTGGACTTTCTTTTCTGGTTATTGAAATAACTGGCACAAGGAAATTCATCATAAATAAGTCATGCCTATTTTTCCTTGAAATATCCTTTAAACTTGTAAAACCTGAGAAAAAACTTTTTTCCGTATCATTATTCGTAAGCATATACACATATATATACACACTATGTCTGTGATTCCTACAAATCAGCCTATAATCAAGTTATTGATTCCTACAATTCAGCCTATAATCAAGTTGTTAATTCCTACAATTCCGCCTATAATAAAGATACAGCCTGTAATAGTACAACCTGTAACAACTGTAACACTCCTCCTCAAGCTGGAGCATAGATGTTAATCATGCCAAGCTTGTTACAAATATACTCAACCCGAACCCCGTTTAGAGCCTTCTTGAAAATATCCCCTAGTTGTTCTCCAGTCTTCACATACCCAATAGAAATCAAATTGTGTTGTATTTTCTCACAAATGAAATGACAGTCAATCTCAATACGCTTGGTTCGTTCATGAAACACGAGATTAGAAGCAATATGAATAGTAGCTTGGTTATCACACCACAATTTTGTTGGTAATGATGTCTTAAGACCAACTTCAGTCAAGAGTTGAGATATCCACATTACTTCACACACAGATTGTGCCATAGCTCTACATTCTAATTCCGCACTAGATCGGGACACAACATTTTGCTTGTTACTCTTCCATGAGACCAAATTTCCTCTAACAAAGACACAATAGCCTGCCACAGATCTCCTATCTATCTTAAAACCTGCCCAATCTGCATCTAAGAAACACTCAATATGAGTATGCCCATGATTTCCATAAAGTATGCCACGTCCAGGGGCTCCCTTCAAATTGCTTTAAAGCTGTCTAATGATTAACTGTTGGAGGACATAAATTGGCTTACAAAACTAATAGAGTAAGCAATATCTGGACGAGTCACTATAATGTATTTCAACTTCCCAACCAGTCTTCTGTATTTCTCCGAATCTTCAAACAACTCATCATCTGTTGCGAGTTGCACATTAGGAAGCATTGGCGCACTGCGTGGTTTGGCTTCCATTTTTTCAGTCTCAATTAATAAGTCAAGTACGTATTTGCTTTGAGATAATAAGATGCCTTTCTTACTCCTTGTCACCTCAACACCCAAGAAATATTTCAACAACCCTAAATCCTTGTGTGAAACTGAGTGTGAAGAAAGGATTTAAAAGATGAAATCCCCATAGTTTCACTCTCAGTAATGACAATATCATCAACATATACAACTAGAAGAATGATGCCATTTTCAGAGTGTGTATAAAAGACCGAGTGATCTGAATGCCATTTTGAACCATGTAAGACTAAAAAGACTTAGAAAAATATTCTCATTCCAAACTTCTCAACTGCCTGACTGAATTTTCCAACCAAGCATGGGGACTTTGTTCCAAACCATATAGAGATTTTCGAAGATGACAGACTTTCCCATACTCCCCTTGAGCAACAAATCTAGGTAGTTGCTCTGTATAGACTTCCTCCTGAAGGTCACCATGTAGGAAGGCATTCTTGACATCTAATTGGTATAAAGGCTAATCATAAGTGACCGCCATAGAAATGAGTAACCTGACAGATGTCATCTTAGCTGCAGGAGAGAAAGTGTTAGAATAATCCATACCATAAGTCTGAGCATACCCTTTTGCAACAAGACGGGCTTTTAGCCGAGCAACTAACCCATCAGGGTTTACCTTAATTGCAAACACCCATTTGCATCCAATTGCTTTCTTTTCTGTAGGTAAGTTTACCAAGTCCCAAGTACCATTATCATCTAAGGCAGTTATTTCTTCCATCATAGCATTCTGCGAAGCAGGATGAGAAAAGGTTTCTTAAACAGTTTTGGGAATGGAGACAGAGTCAAGAGATACGATAAAAGAGTAAGAAGAAGGTGGCAGGTGATCATAAGAGCCGATAGAAGAAAATAGGATAAGTACACTGACATTTATCTTTTCTACGAGCAACAGGAAGATGAAGATCATTTGGTACTGGATTCAACGATGAAGGAGCTGGTGTAGGACATGTATCTAGAGGTTCTTGTCGTCGTGAATAAACCTTGAGAGCAAGAGGCTTAGCAGTTGTAGGATCAACAGGTGCAGGGTCAGCAGGTATAGAAGCATTAGAAGAACTAAGAGGATATGAGAGTATAGACTACCAAGTCATCTTCAGCCTCCTGACTGGCATAAGTAGAAGAAATAGGAAAAAATGAGGTATTTTCTAGGAAATTAACATCAGCTGACACAAGATATTGATTAAGACAGGGACCTGTACCCTTTTTGAAGACAAGAGTAGCCTAGAAATACACATTTTAATGATTTTGGATCTAATTTGGTGACATGGGGACGAACATCATGGACAAAACAAGCACTACCGAATATCCTGGGTTCAATAGGGAACAGACTTAGTGGGACAAAAACCACCGTAAGGGGTCTCACCATTAAGAACAGATGAAGGCATGTGGTTAATCAGAAAAAAAGCAGTGGAAACCGCATCAGCCTAAATGGTTTAGGAACTTGCATTTGAAATAATAATGCTCGAGTTGTTTCAAGAAGATGTCTATTTTTTCTCTCGGCTATTCCATTTTGAGATGGGTTATCGACACAAGAGGATTGATGAAGAATGCTATTCTGAATCATATAAGATTGAAAAGACTCAGAAAAATATTCTTTGGCATTATCACTTCTTAATGCATGCATAGTAACATTAAATTGTGTTTTGATTTCAGCACAAAAAGCAAAAAATTGGGAAAACAACTCAGAATGATTTTTCATTAGATATAACCAAGTGATACGAGAATAATCATCAACAAAAGTAACAAAGTACTTAAAACCAGTTTTAGATACAAGAGGACAAGGTCCCCAAATATCTGAATGAACTAACTCAAAAGGAAAACAAGCTCGTTTATTGACTCTAGGACTTGTAGGAAGACGACAATGTTTGACAAATTGGCACGACTCACAATCTATTGAAGAGATACTATAAAATTGTGGACAAAGTTTCTTCAGCAAAGGTAGAGAAGGATGTCCCAATCAACAATGCACCTCAAACGGAGTTAAGACGCTGGAACAGGCAATGGATTTTGGCACCTATGTCTAGAATGTAGAGCCCTCCAGACTCATGTCCTTTACTAATAATTTGCTTTGTCGTAAGATTCTGAAACAGACAATGATCAGGATAAAATGAGATACAACAATTAAGGGCACGAGTAAATTTACTCACAAAAATTAAATTGAAAGACAACTTGGGAAGACTCAATATGGATGATAGGGAAATTAATGGAGTTGGGTTTACAGTGTTAGAACCAAGGATAAAAGAAGTGGACCCATCCGCTAATATAACATTAGAAGGCGATTCATGAGACTGGAAAGTAGAAAGGAGACTAGGATTACCTGTCATATGGTCTGTGGCACCAAAATCAATAACCCATTTGGATGATGAGCAAATAAGACATGTAGTGGGTTTACATAACTCGACGATGATTTGAGTATATGAAGACCTTAATGATTTTTGGTACTAAGAAAACGTAGCAAATTCATCTACAGAAACCATAATGGAGTTTTCGGAGGATGAATTAAATGTAGCATTGGTAGCTGCAAAAATGTGCTAACGGAGTTTTCTAAGATCCATTCTGCAATTTTCTACAAGTTCGCTTTGTATGGCCCAGCTCGTGACAATAATAGCATACAACTCCTCCAGAATCTTGACTCTGATTATCAAAAGCTAAGGCACGATTGCTTGTCCCCTCTCCTCTGTTACCACTCCTGTTATACCCACCCCTTTGACTCACATGAGCACTAGTAAGCTAAACATATGGAGTAGACAGAATGGATGGAGTGCTGTCTGTGCGAAGCACCCTAGTAAATGTAACTTGCAAAGAAGGAATCTCAAGACTAGAGAGTATTTGAGATTTAGCATTTTCAGAAAGGTGATTATCCTTATCAATACTCAGATAAATTCAAATTGTCTTACTCCAATCCAGATAATTGGAACCATTGAGCTTGTGTTTCGTGATTTTGGACATCACAGGAATTACATCAGGCACAATTCCTGATTTCTTATCAACCATAACTCCGGATTATAATTTTTTTTTTTGACAAAACATACCCAGAAAAAAAGGATCCTGATTTGAAGATCTCATACCCAAATGAATGTTGGAGCAAAATAGCACAGATATGTTTTGTAGAAGACCAGATGAGAATAACTAATCACTCTATAAGGGTGACTCAAAAATTTGCACACTGCTCACTTGAGCAGACAGTTAGAGAAGAAGAAGAGGAGAATAATTTGTCACTCTATAGGGCTCTGATACCATGTAAAACCTGAGAAAAATTTTTTTCCACATCATTATTCATAAGCATATACACATATATATACACCCTATGTCTGTGATTCCTACAAATCAGCCTCTGATTAAGTTATTGATTCCTACAATTCTGCCTGTAATCAAGTTGTTGATTCCTACAGTTCAGCCTATAATACAGATATGGCCTGTAATAATGCAGCCTGTAACAACCGTAACATATGATTCCTACAACTCAACCTTAGGATTAGTAACATTGATGAACTAGAGTGACTGTTCAACTGCCTTTCTTTTATTTTCTCGATTTGTTAACCATTTTTATTTATTGATTTCATCTTTATCATTTGATCATGATATATGAACCAATGCTGAGTTAATGAAATGTGTAAAATTACTTTTTCTTGCCACTGACTGGAA